AAGGGTTCGGGCAGAGGAGGGGCAGGATCTGACTTAGTTTGAGCAGGACCCGCTGCCTGCTGTGCAGAAAGGACTGTGGGGCCGGGTGGAAACGGAGCTCAGGACGGTGGCTGTGAGGACCGTCTAGGAAGGAGGTAGGAAGGCAGATGGGGTGGCTGTCAGGGTAGGCCCGTGGTGGTAGGGAAAGTGGTTGGAACAGCAGGCCTTGTAGATGAGGGTTGCTGATGGAGACAGCTTCTGGAAGGATGGTGCTGGGCAGCGGTACTAGATTTGTCAGGAGGTCAAGTATGATGAAGACGGAGCCGTGGCCATTGATGTGGGAAGGGGGGTGTGGGAGGCGACCTTACGGGAACGAGGAAGTGGGCCTTGAGGCAGCAGAGGTAGAGCATGTGGGCTTCTGAGAGCCAGGCCAGAGTCGGAGGGGCTGTGGGATGAAGAGGCTTGTTTCCTCGCTCCCTCCTCTTTCTCTTCCTTTTGAAACACGGAAGATGCCTGGATGCGATTAAGCACGAAGCGGGAGGGCCAGCAGGGAGGGAGCGGTGGATGGAGACACAGGAAGGATGTTGATTGGAGGAGGCTGAGGGGCTGCAGAGGATGGGCTCACAGCCTAGAACGGAGAAGCGGCCTTGGCCCCTGGAGAAAGGCTCTGGGGACGGGCGGGTGCGCAGGTGAGCCTGCAGGTGTGGGGCAGGCTGCTGAGGGGCACCTCTCTCCCGGGCCCCATTTCTTGTTGCAGGAGGTCCGTAGTCTGGTGAGAAGATGGGTGGGGTTCAGGATGGAGGCCTAAGGAAGGTGAGGTTTGGAGTAACTTTCATGGGACTGGAAACAGGTGCCTGAAGACACACATTTCAGGGCAGCATGGCGCCCCCACTGGGTTGGCTCCAGAGTGTGAAGCCAAGAGCTCCCTGGAGCAGGGCCTGAGGGTGGGGGCCTGAGGGTGGGATGGTGGAGGCTGGAGGTGTTGCAGGGCAGGTAGTGGGAGGGCAGGTGGGCAGAGGACTATGGGAAGATGCTGAGTGAGGGCTGAGGAGACGGGTGGTCTGGGCAGGAGTGAAACAGGAGATTAAGTGCATGTGTGCATGAAGGTGTGAGTGTGTGCATGGCGCACGTTGGTTAGACAGGAGCAGGGCAGCCTCTCCCTTGCGGATGGAGCCCCCAAGGTGTGCAAAAGGCAGTCCTTTGGGAAACTGGAGGAAAATACCAGAACTTCAATTTGCATGATTTCACATGGCATCTTTCTTAAAAGATTTTTTTTAGTGATTTTCAGAGAGAGAGGAAGGGAGAGGGAGGGAGAGAGAAACATTGATGTGAGTGAGACATTGATTGGCTGCCTCCTGCACGACCCCTACTGGGAACTGAACGGGCAATCTTTGGGTGCATGGGACGATGCCGAACCTGCTGAGCCACACGGGCCAGGGTCCTATGCCACCTTTTTAATGTTCATTTTCATTTGTGTTCATTTTCACTTGGTGTGCATTTCCGTTTGTGTCATCCCTTGTACATATGATCTTCATGTGGGCACCCGTGCATAGCTATCTGATAAATATGCACGTATTAGGGAGTGAGCATTGCTGCATGGGCACACGATTGGAACAATCTGGAAACCATGGTAAGAAGGGCCCGCTCCTTGGAGAGGCACCTCGGGGAACACTCTTGTCTCCTTTGCTCTCACCCGAGTCTATAAGCTGCTGTCTGCTGTTTCATACATTCAAAAGCTCCCGGAATCGGTTCACTCCTCTCCACTCCTGCTATCGATCAGACGGTCTCTGGTGCCTGGGTCCTGCTCTCTCCCTCGGTAGCTCCTACTCAGGGGGCTGGCCAGGTCCATCTCGGGACCTGCAGGATGCCTTTCTTGCCCCTACGCCGGCCCCGGGGCCAACCCTGCCTCGTTCACCTCAGTGCCCGACCTAGGGCCTGGCACACAGTAGGTGCTCAGAGTGTTTGCTGAAAGAATGAGGGCAGGAGCTCCTAGTGGCGCTGGCCTGGGGCACACGGCAGTGGTGTCCTCAGCTCCTTGTCTCTGCCACCCCCTACCCAATGCATCAGCAGAGCCCACCAGCTCCCTCTTCAGGATTAACCAGCATCGGACTGTCGACATGAATGGCATCAACGCCCACTTCCAGCCCCATCCTGCTTCAGGCCTCCATCGCTCTTGCCTGGTGGCTGCAGCAGCCTCCTCCTCGGGCTTCAAACCTCCACCCTGTCCCCTACGGACTGTTCTGTTCAAACCGATTCAGGTGTGTCTTTTCCTGCTCAGAATCCTTCAATGGCTCCCAGGGTGCTCGGAGCAAGAGCCAAAGTCCGTCCAGAGGCCCCCAAGGCCCAACATGGACTGCCCTCCCCTCTCCTCTCAGTCTCATCCCTCACCCTTCGTCCCCCTCCTCCTCTGCTCCAGCCACACTGGCCATCCTGCTGTCCCCAGGCACCTGGCTGCGTTCCCACCTCCCAGCCTTCGCACTCGCTGGTCCTTCTGCCTGATCCCTCTGCCGTAAAGGCCCCCCTCCCAGGTCCCTGCACGGGCCGCTCCTTCACTCCACTTGTTCTCAGGGTTCTCTCGACTTCTCTGACCTCAAATAGCCCCCCCTGGCCACTTCTTGCCTTTCCCCTCTTTCATTTTGCTTCACCATCTGACCGGGTAGATTTTTACTGTTCATCTCTTTATGCCTCTGCCCCCACTAGTCCAGAAGGGGACATACTGTTTATTTGCTGGTGAATCCCCAGCACCCGGGAAGGGCCTGGCCCATGGTAGCTTTTATCAGCGAATGAGTGATGGGCAGTTAGGGAGTCAGGTTTCCAGTTCTGAACCTGCCCAGTCTTGCTGTGTGGCCTTAGGCTCATCCCTGCCCCTCTCTGGGCCTCATTATCTCAGTCTCTGCAATTCAGAGACAAGGGTCCCATCAGCCTGGCCCTCTGTGCCCAGGGAAGGCCTCTGGGGTGGATGTTCCAGCTGCCAATTGCTGCCCCCCTCCCCCCAACCCCCACCCCTGCAGGCCCAGCCCGTACCTTCTGCAGCCGCTGCGTGTTGTTCTCCAGCATCTTCTCCAGGTGTTGCATCCGCTTGGTCGGCCAGGCCACTAGGTTCAGCGAGTCCCTCTGGAGGCTGTTGGAGCCCCTGAAGGTCCCCCCAGTCTCTGGAGCGCAGGCCTCCGGCTCTGGCAGCAGGAAGGTGTAGCTGCACTGGCCGTGCTGGACGCGATGCGCCAGGCGGCGCTCTCTCACCTCCTGCCCCCTCCGCTGGGCCACGGTCAGGGTGGCCACGGTGAGGAGGAGGCCCCCCAGCAGCATGGCCGGCCAGGAGAGCATCTGGAGATGTGGTGATGGTGAGGGGTGTCTGGTCAGAGCCCCCCGGCCCTGCTCCGTGCCCGGGTGTCCCCGCTGTGGCCAGCAGTGGACAGGTCTACCCTAGAACCGCTGCAGCTGCAAACCCCTGTTTGGCCAAGCTCCACCCAGACAGCTATTTATACTTGTTCCAGATGCCACAGCTGCTCAGCTCCGCCCACCGCCCTGCTCGCTCCCGCTCTCCCTCACCTCTATTCTTCCCCTTTCCCTTCCTTCCTCTCTCGGGCCCTCTTGCTATCCTGTCTGTGCACCAGCCTTGCTGTGCGTAGGGGCCTCAGAGCCCTTATTACTCAGGGGGACCCGGCCTCCCTGTGAGGGCGCAGGAAAGAAAACAACCCACAGACGTGTGCACACACACTCACACACGCACCCCCAGGCCGCCTGCTGCAGAAAACCAACCGAACCCAACTGTCTCTTCCTGTCTCTGTCTCTGTCTCTCTTTCCAGCCTCCTCCCACGAAGGCCGGAATCTCAAATTTCAGCACCCCATGCCTCCGCTGTCCCCCCCACCCCCAGCACGTTCCTGCTCTAGTTCCGGGGGAGCATTTGGCTCACAGGGAAAGAACCGGGATAGAGCCAAGGGAGGGGCAGAGGGGCGAGGCTGGGGAGGAGGCAGCCCGTCCAACCTGTTTCAGGAGACAGAGCGTCCTTGCGGGGCCAGGGAAGTGCATGCTTCACCCTCGGGGCGCCAGGGACGTTGTGCCCTGAGGTGGCCCTGGCTCAGGTCCTGTGACAGCCGGACCGTCTGTCCTGGGGCAGACTGCTCTGCGGCCGCCTCTGAGGGGGGTAGGGGTCGGGAGAAGAGCTTGGGAGGCAGCCCTGGAGTCAGAGGCGGCGGCTCTAAGCCCGCTCCCCAGCTGCCGGCCCTGAGACCTTGGGGGCTTCCATATCCCCACCCGTCAGCTGAGTAAACCCGTCTCTCGCGCCAGGAATGCATGTGAGTCCTCAGCATGGGGACTGGGGACTGTTGATGTCCTTGTTTATCTGTCTACCGCTTCAAATCCTGGCTCCACGCCTTACCCGCTGTTCAACTTCGGGCCATCACTTGACTTCTCTGTTTCCTCTTGATAAACCGAGGAAAATACCACCCATTTCTCAGGGTGTGAACATTAGCCAGCGAGAACAGTGCTGGCACTGGGTGAGTAGAAATCATTATTTTAAATTAGGGTCAGTGTAAGGTTATTACCTATCTTCCCTCCCCCAACCCACCGGAATGCTAACCCCATGAGGCCAAGGATTTGGCAGGAGGATGTGATTGTGGGGTAGGAGGTGCCCGGAGCCGGCTGGGGGCTCTCCTGGGTGGCTGCCTTCCGGCTTTCTCTGCTCCTTTTCCCAGAGTGGGGGCAGATCCGCTGTTGGGTATTGTTTTTCCCCCTTTGTTTTCCCAAATCCTGTTGGAATTTTGAACAGGGCAGCTGCTTGGGACAGCAGCAAACCGGGGGCTCATCCGGGGGACTGAGAACATTCAGCCAGGTGTGCTGGGCTGTGGCAGGAAACGGAAAGGCAGCTGGTGATCAGGCACCTGCACTCGCGAGCTTCCCGTGTGCTGAGAGCCTTGTTCTCACTCCCCCTCAACCGGCAGAGGTCACACCACCTCCGGCCTTGCAAGGCAGAGGTGTGCTCACACAGGTTGGGGGTTTATTAAAGTGCCTGGCACACAGGAGTCCAGAGCAAGAGCCTGTCGTTAGGACTGAGTAGGTTGAGCTGCGCGATAATCCCAGGGAGGCCAGCGTTATCATCTACCCATTTTGCAGAAGAGAAAACGGAACCCTAGAGTAGAGGAGGGATTTGCCTAAGGTTACACAGCCTGGAGTGCTTGGCCTGGACTGAAGAAGGAGAGGCGTAGCCACCAGGCCTGTCCCAGAGCCTAACCCATTCCCTCCCACCCACCCACCCTCCCAGGGCGTGTGCAGTGTGCAGTGTGTAGTGTGCAGGGACAGCAGCCCCCTCATTCTCTGTCTCCTCACTGTGCACTAAACCGAGAGCATTAAAACTCCTCGAGGGACATCAAGATGATGATGGGAAGCACAGGTGATGCATTTACTCCTCTTGATGGAAAGAATGACTGAATGTAATGTAAGTTCCTTCCCTGCATAGACTTAAATAGACACCGGTCCTAAAATTACACTAGGGTCTCTCTGTACAAAAGAAGAAACAGAATGACCCATCCACAGAAGAAATGTAGATCGGATGAACAGAAGAATTCTAGAAAGCCTGGGAGATGGCCTGCCGACCTCTGCACCTTCATTTCAGCACCCCTTCTGACCCCAGGGCCTTTGCATATGCTGTGTTCTCTTGTTCAGAGCACTATTGTCTGCCCACCCTCACCCTTACCCCCCCCCCCCACCAGCTTCCTGTTACTGTGGCTGCCAACAAATGACTCCAAAACTTAGTGACTTAAAACCAAAATCACCATTTATTATCTCTCAGGGTTTCTGTAGATCAGGAATTTGTGAGCAGCTCAGCTGGGCGGTCCGCTCGGGTCTCTCATGAGGTTGCAGGCTGAGCTAGGGTCATCTGGAAGCTTCTTCATCTCGCCTGCCAGCTCCTGGGCGTCCCCCATCACCCCTCCCCCTCCCTCCATGGTTCTTCAGGTGGGTCTCCAGCGTGGTGGCTTCCAGCAGCCAGGCTTCTTCCATGGCCGCTCAGGGCTACAAAGGTGCCGTCCGCAGAGCGCCAGGTGGACGCTATATCACCTTTTAGGACCTGGCCTCACAAGTCATTCAGTGGAGCTTCTATCACATTCCATTGGTCCGGGTCTCCCCAGGTGCAAGGCAGGGCCGTAGACCCACCTCTCTGTGGAAGGGCGTCATTGTCACCAGAAGAGCGTGCTGGAGGGGCGCGTGCCGCTGTGACCCGCTCTGGGAAGTGGTGCCGGCAGGAGAAGCTCTTTCCACCTTTCATTGTTTCAGTGTGAATATTGCTGAAACTTGCTCACACAGGCCCTTAGCTCTGTCCAAGTTCTAAAACAGACCCCCCCCCCCAAGCCTTTCCCCTTTATGTGAACCCTTCTCAAGGCGCAAGGTTAACGACCTGTGTGGTGACTCATCTCTCTTTGTTTGTCCCCAGCATGTGATATGCAGTTTGTTCTCAGTAAATACCTGCCGGATGAACGAATGAATAAAAGTGTGAATGAATGAATGAATGGGTGAATGAATGAATGAATGGGTGAATGAATGAATGAATGAATGCAATGCTTGAGCCTGGAGATGGGCGCCAGGAGGGGTGCAGTGCAGTCACTATGGGCTACACTAACAGGGCAAGCCTGGCTGACACAGCCCTGAGTGGCCCTGGGCAGGCTGCGGCCGCTTTGGGCCCAGCTTCGTCCTCCTCGATTGGAGAGCGTGACTAGGCTCTATCCCCGTCCCCCGTCCCCCCCCACCGAGATCGCACAGAGGTGAGCTCTAGAGAAAGTTCATAAATTGTCCAGCTGCTGAGGACCTTTAAACACAGGCCTCTCGGCCAGTGTCCCAGGGGGTTTGGGCATAAGTCCAGCCTGGAGAGGAGCTATGGGGAGGGACCTCCAGCTCTCAGGGAATGGGGACCAGCCAGCACCACGAGAAGCAGCATGTGTCAAGGTGGTAGCAGGTACGAGGAGCTGGTGGCAGGGCCCAGAGAAGGGACTGGAAAGACGCCCTCTGGGGTCAGGTGGCAAGTTCAGGGAGCCCCTGTGCCAGTGCCCAAAGGCAACATTCAACGGTGGGCCTGGAAGGGCCTTTGGTAGTCAGCGTGCTCTGTGGGTGAACTTATCATCCCCACCTCATCCTGAGCCCCACACCCAGAGCCATCTCTGCTTCCTGGACATAACCCTCACGGCCTCAGACACAGCCCCCATGTCCTGCTCCCCTGCGATGCCCCAAACAAGCCTCTCCTGGGTTCTTCCAGCTCTGCTCACTGCACAGCCTTCACCAGGCACCTGGGAACAGGAGGAGGTCAGCCTCGCGGGACCCAAAGGGATTGCGGGGAGGGGAGTCACGGGAACCTGGGGGAGAGTGACCAGAAGGGAGATGGGTATTGATGGGCATAAAACACCTGCCCACCTGCTTCCCCACCCCGGCCCCTCACCTGGTGAACTGGCTTCCCACCCCGACCCAGTGGAGCCTAGAGTCCTCACCTCACATTTAGCTCATGAGAAAGCACACCCAGGGAAGGAGGCAACACACTGGAATCTATTTCCTGGAAGAACGGATCTTTCTGGTCCTGGGAACAAAGGCAGGGAACACGGATCATTCCTGGAGAGTTGCTTGTTAATTGGGGGCTCCTCAAGTATTGGGGTCCAAAGGAGAGTTTAAAGTCACCCCCACTCCTGGCCGCATCTCCAGAACCCAGCACGTCCTGACCCACCTCCCTTTCCAGCTCCCTGCATTTCAGCACCCAGGGTGATACACAAGGGTTGCAAGCCTGGCAGCTTAAAGCGCACCCAAAGCCTCCTGTACGGTGCTGTTCACGTCCCTGCGGACATGACCTGGCACCTCTTAGGGCCACTGATGGTGAGGTCCTGGCAGGAAGCCCTGGGGCTGCTGACAACCCTGGGGATGATCTGTCAGTGTCCCCAAGAGTCAAGAGATGAATCTGTGGAGCAAGAATCATTGTGTCCCCCCACCACCACCCCGAAAACAGTCTATCAACTGTCCCCACCTCTAATTTCCATCACCCCAACCCCAAGCCACGGCACAACTGATACATCAGAAGGGACACAAGGGTGAGTTTTGAGGTCACCCCTGTGACCCGGGCCTAATGATGAAGAGCCCCAGACTTCTGGCACTGAATCTTGATTCCACTCTAGTAGGTTAGACTCGGTTTTCTTATCTATAAAATGGAGAGAACCGTCTCTCACTAGCAGGTGTGGGCGAGGTTCTTTAAGTTATCAGAGCTATTTAACAAAGTACCCCAACACTTCGTGGTTTAAAACAATGGCGACACCTGTTTTGGCCAGGTTCAGTGGGGACAGCCTAACTCTGCTCCATTTGGCATCAGCTGGTGTAGCTTGAAGGCTAGTGCCAGAACCATCCAAAAGCTCATCCGTTCACATATCCGAGACCTGGGCTCGGGCTGTCAGCCAGAATGACTACATACAGCCTCTTCATGTGGCCAGGGCTTCCTCACAGCAGGGTGGCTGCATTGCCAGGGTGAGCATCCCCTAGGATAGTGGCAACATTCCCAGGGCAAGCATCTGCAGAGAGTTGGGTAGAAGGCATATGACCTTTTGTGACCTCACCTCACAAATCATGCAGGGTCATCTCTTACATTCTACTCACAGACGCGGTCACAGAGTCCCACCCAAGTTCAGGGAGAGGAGGAATAGACCTCTTGTCGATGGAGACTGGTGAGGTCTCAGAAGACCATGTGAGATGGGAGATATTGTTGGAAAATATAATCGCCAAAGGAGGGGAGAATGAGAAAATGCTATATAAGTATTTAGCATGTAAGTACGTGCTCAATAGTGGGTAGCTATCATTATATCATCTGTGTTATTGGAAAG